AGCCTGAGGCTTATTCATTTCACTTTTGGTGTGAAAGGGCCTTAATTTGCCCCCAAAAAAAAACTAAAACAAGACCAGCCCAGGTGAGTTACGCAAAGGTAACATAACACATTCCTCTACATAAAAACTAAGTAACACAATCTGTTACTTTTTAGGGAGTAATACAATATTAAAAGTAACTTTCCCCAATGGTTTTAAATAAAACAAAGATGCTATTTCAGTCTTTCTGCTTCAAAACTCAAAATAAATGTCACTTACCATTTCTTTGTAATTATTTGTGAAATTTCTGAGTGAAAATTGTGTAGAGTTGGGAGGAGAAAATTCTTCAAATAACTTTAAAATGTCGTATAATCCAAATATATACGGGAAAGGTTCCTACTGGGAACTAGGATTCTCCCACTTCTGTGGACAGACGGAATGCAGCATTACTGTTCACAGAATACGAGTGTGAATTACAACACGACACTTAATGCCATGTCCATACGCTGCATGATTTTAGCCCAGATTTTCACTCGCCAACAGTTCAGTGGAAATCGCAGTCAAATGCACAAAATCAGAGGCAACTTAGTTCTCGTTCACATGAGTGACAATCGCGTAGTGTATGATCAAAGACGCCATCTGAGAGACACATGATGCATCACTTCTTTTTTTTATTCTTTTATGATTTCCTGTATCACTTCTCCCGTGTGTTTGGCTGTGAAACGGAGTTTGTAGACCAGGAAGGGATGTCTGGGATTTTCTTTTTGAAACGTTGTGTAATAAGTGACTGCATGTTGCCGAGGTTCATCCACCAACAGCAAAATACTAAATTTTGAATAAAATTTTGATGTTTTGAATTGAAAATGTACTACCATTTACATCATTCATGTAAATCATAACTGAATGTGACGAGAGAAGAAACGTTTTGCGTTTTCGACATATTACACGTGCGAATAAGAGTGAATAGACGTGCTGCTTTTAAAAACAGCATGCATTGTGGGAGTCTCATGGCTGCTGTTGCACATTAGAAAAAGAAAAAAAAAACATAAAAGCCCAAACACAAGCCATCACGTCAAATGATCTGAGTATTTATCATGATGATTGGAGTCGTCCCTATAGGGCCACACAATGATATTGCATGATGCAGCTCTCAGACTCCCAGGGGCAGCACTTCACTACTTATGCAATTATTATAACAGGCAATTAATTAAACAGCCTAATTGAACCGAGTAACCCCGAGAGAGCACTAGTTGAGTCCTATTTTTAGGAGGTAGCCCTCCTCCGGCCGGTTGTGCATTGGTTAGTCCCGTGTCCAGGTCCCGTCTGTGTCGATAGCATCTAGCGTGGCACTTCTGTGGAGTCGGCCATTAACATTATCAAGTTATTTATTCTCAGAGCCTCTTTCCACTGGCCTGCATTTTCCACTGCTCTGAATGTCAGAAAGCTGTGCTAGCTGTGATTTTCCGTTATTCTCAACACTGTAGACTTGCATCCAGCGCCTGTCCCGACTCAATGAACGCATGCTACACACACATCTTTAGTATGAACAGCACATCATCTTTGAGGATCCCTGGTTAATGCGATCTCTGAAACACGTTTCTTCAACTCCATGTGCTTTCATGTCACAGTCACAGGGGTTTTGTATAGATTATACAGATTTTCGATATTAAAATACATAAGAATTATTAATTATTTTAAACTATAATAACAAAAATAGAGTTTTAAAGAACAAACAATTTAAACCTGGAATTTAAAAATATACACAACAGTTGTAGTGTCATTGACCAACAATTTTGCGTCTAATTAAGTTTTATCAAATGTTAGTGTACTTAATTGTAGGGCTGTGAAACGATTAATCGTGATTAATCGCATCCAAAATAAAAATTTGTGTTTACATAATATATGTGTGTGTAATTATTTTGTATATATAAATACACACACATGTATGTATATATTTAAGAAATATTTGCAGGTATATACTGTATATATCTTAATATATATTTTATATTATATATAAATATAAGTATTTTATATATAAATAAAAAAAAATTCTTAAATATATACATACATGTGTGTGTATTTATAAATACAAAATAATCACGATTATTGTTTCACAGCCCTGATTGCAAAGCAGCTTGAGATTAAATATGAGACATGATGTGATGTGAAGATAATAAAGAACAATCAAGGTTAATAGCATATTTCCTATCAAACTGTGATTCTGGGCAATAATGCTAGAAGTGTGCGGATATTTGTATATTTATGATGCATAAAATTGAATTAGTCTTAGCACATCATTTATTGAAGAAGATTATGAGCTCTTTTTGTACTCTTTAAACACTGGCACACCTTTAATATTTAGTAAGTCCAACAATGTCCAACAGTTTAAATGCATTACAGATGACAGTGATTTGTGTGACAGTGACAGTGTTTAAAGAGTACAAAAAGAGTTCATATTTGAAGAATCACCCATGCTGCCATGCATTCCTAATTTTAGCACAGTTATATTTGAAATTTTCATTTTTATTTTCAGGATAAAGAAATGCATCAATATTGTCAAAAAACATATATTTTGTGTGGCAATATCTCCCAGGCTGCCATGAGTGAACGTGTGCTGGAGGCATGATAACAGCCCAGGGCCACCGGAGCACAGCTGAATGCAGAAAACAACCAATCAGCACGGAGCACGCAGGTCATGTGATCACCAGGTGCCCGTTCACAACATAGGAACTCGCTGTGTTCTGACTCACAGGGTCCCTATGCAGTGTACACCGCTCCTTCATCATCATCACACACAGATGAAACTTGAGTCATGCATATTCCAAGAGTTTGAATAATAATAATATATATTACATCTGTAAATATGCCATTTTGGCGCTCTTTAATGTGGCATGACAGATCTCTTCCTGTTTACTACTAGTTACAGCACCAAATAAACATCAGGAGGAATGTTGAAACCCTTGTGAAAAAGAAGTGTGCTTAATTGTATTGAAAGCATACTTTTTGTGTGCTTAAACTCATAAAAGTATACTTTTTGAAAAGTGTACTTGCAGATAATATAATATAATTAAAATTAAAGACCACTTAAGTGTACTTAAAGGGAATACACTTTAATGACAATATTTATTAACACACTTAAGTGCACTTTTACAAATGGACTTTGTAATAATATCTAATTAAGTTTAACTTAAAGTAAGTACACTTTCATCACAATATTTATAAACACACTTAAGTGCACTTTTAAAAATGCACTTTGTAATAATATGTAATTAAGTTTAACTTAAAGTAAGTACACTTTCATGACAATATTTCTAAACACACTAAAGTGTACTTTTTAAAAATGCACTTTGTAATAATGTCTAATTAAGTTTTACTTAAAGAAAGTACACTTTCATGATCATATTTCTAAACACACTTAAGTGCACTTTTTACAAATGCACTTTGTAATAATATCTAATTAAGCTTAACTTAAAGTAAGTACACTTTCATCACAATATTTCTAAACACACTTAAGTGCATGTTTTAAAAAAATCACTTTTTAATTGTGTCTAAGTTTTACTTAAACATACATGTTAAATAATTATGAATTTATAGTGTTTTAAAGTTATTAAAGTTATAAGTTATTAAATGAAATTTATTTTGATGTATTGACTAATATACTAAATAAAATAATATTTTTAATGGAAAACATGGAAAGTAATTCACTTTAATTTCAACAAGTGTGTTGTCCAAAAATAATTTGTTAATGTATTTTAAATGTGTTTAGTCTATAATATATACTGTGTGCATTAATGCACTTGGAATGTATTTTTCCAATAAATTTGCAATACAGTATAATCCAGGACAACCTATTGTTGACATTTTTGTCAGTTTTCTACATAATATTTGACAATAAAATTTAATTTATGAGAGGAGTCTTAGCAGTAATGTGTTGTACTTTACATCTGTGAACAGAATACTTTCAATATCATTATGTTGTTCTAAGTCAATTAAACACATTTAATTGCAATCTACACTACATTGAACAAAAATATTGACTTTTAGTTAGATGAAAGAGTAAAGTTTTGTGAACTTACAGAGTCTAACAACACAATTGAGTTAGAACAACTTCAACTTAAACAGAAAAGCTAAAATGAAAATATACTCTATACGAACATGGTGTTTAATGAGCATGCGCCAGAAATACTACGTCATGATGACGCACTACTTCACTAGAGTTTGAAAAATGCGCTGTTATGTTTCTGTAATGGCGGTGCATGAGGAAACTGAAGCTTCCCAAACAAAAGGAGCGCCACGTTTTGGCTGTTTGCAGATGAGATGTTATACTGCAAATAATCAGTCAAGTAAGTATATCTTGATGCTTTCTTTATTGAAATTTTTTTCACCGCAGTTGATATTGCGATTAAGAGTGCTTTTTAATCGCAGATAGTAAAGTTATACGCAATAGATTCGGGAGGTAAATTAATCATGTTTCCACTAATTTATCTATGATTGCATTCTAATAATGTCTTACATCGTAATGTGCTCGCGTGTGTGGGCGTGTTCGAGGAATTTGTCTACTGAAATGTGTTTTTTATATATATATATATATATTCATTTATTTATTTTAAACCGACTTTTAAAAATAATTTTAAACAAACTTAATGACTTAAAGTTAAATTTGCATGCTGAATGCTGATCCAATTGTAACTCTCGAAGTCATTTATATTAATTAATCTTAACCACCATAACGTTACATATTTAATATATCACCCACCTCTAGAAATAATGCTTGTAATGTATTTAATTTCGTTTTGCATTTGAAGAGTGAGTTGTTCATTTACTATTTGTTTTGGAATATGTAATATTTTTGTGCTTATCTGGATTAAACATTCATTTTGCAGGATCAGTTCACATTTGTTATTGGAGATACAGGGCAAGCGGTGTGGAATCACAGACCTGTATTGATGAGGTGATGTTACAAGAGTTATTATGAATTTTTGCCCAGCCAGCACACCTCTATCAAGCTAAAAGACTGCTATCAAGTCACCAAGTATCCCTATAGCTTTTAATGCTTTGTATCTTTTCCATTTGCAAGTTATAGATTCCCACCTGTGCATTTACATATGCCCCTATAATCATCATATATTTTACAGGTAACAAACCAAATGAAGAAGGCTGCCGCATTACTGTGTCAACCGTGGTAAATACAGGAACATCCTTCATGAAGATACGTGCGCAAGCTTAAAATTCAAGATTACCTTTCTCAATTTGCATGGGTCTTGGGTTTGCATGGGTCATTAACCTATATGTGTGTAATTGATAAAGTTATGTTTAAAATCCTTGTAAAGTAGCAAAATAAATGTTCTCTATTTTTAATAACTTTAAGCCCAGTGTCAGTGAAGATGGCGTGGTCAGTGCAATCATGGTGTTTGTGGGAAATAGAGGAACCTTGCCCAGCTTTCTACTACGGTGTGACCCTGATGAGGTAATTCATCACATCACACATTCATCCACAGTTAGCAGTCAAAAGTTTACGTACACCTTGCAGAATAAACTGCTTCACCAGGGTAGTACTAAATAAAAAGACAACATAGACATTTTTGTGTTCCCTCTTATTGCTAAAATAAAGACTAAAATACTGCAAGGTGTATATAAACTTTAACGGGAAAATATCTATCACTTTCATTCATTTGAGCCAAATATAATAATGGACTGGATCTGTTTTATAAACAAATGTTTTCCTTCACTTTTTTTTTTCTCAAGGTATTTTTTTCTGACTTTCCTGCCTCTTTGGAACAAATCCATTCACATTTACTTTGGAGAGCACCGGGACATTGACATAAACAGCACTTTCCAACTACTTCAAAACATTTGGTGACAAATGATTTTGGTTTTCTTGTTTTTGTGCCTTTAGATTTCTTCAGTTTTTGTTTTGTTTTTTTGTTTTTAGACAACCTTATATTCACTGTAATGCTGGAGTAAGCATTTTGTCCTGTTTAATGTTGGTGCTATAAAAAAAGGTTTAAGAGCTAAAATTAACAAGGTTCGGTAACACTTTAATTAGGTCTCATTTGTTAATATTAGTTTATGTATTAGCCAACATGATCTAAAAATGAGCATATTTTTACAGTATTTATGAATCTTTGTTAATATTAGTTAATTAAAATATAGTTTGTTAAAGTTAGTTAATACAATTTATAGTCATTGTTCATGCGAGTTCACAGTGCATTATAATTTTAATACACAACTTTTGAATATAATAATGGATTATTAAATTTTTAAATTAACATTAACTAAGACTAATAAATGCTTAAAGTATTATTCATTCTTAGTTCATGTTAACTGAAGGAGTAAACTAATAATACCTTTTTGTAAAGCATTACCCGTTTGAATCTTAGTGTTCACATTTTGCAGTAGAACGTCACATCACATTTTGTTTGTATTAATTCATAGGTTGTGTGTTTGTTGTACTGTGTGTTTGCTTCTAAAATGATGTTTGTACTGGTAATCCCTAGGTTATGGGGACCAAATTACCCCAAAAGTATAGTAATACCAGTAAATTACATGGAAACAATCTTATAAATCATACAGAATGATGTTTCTGAAAATGTAAAAACACAAAAATGTTTTCTGTGATGATAGGTTTAGGTACCTTTGTATGAGGGAGAACATGATTGTGCATATAAGCATCATTGCCCTCCAGACTCTTTCTAAATGAGAGTTAAAGGGATAGTTCACTTTAAAATGATAATTCTGTCATCATATACTCACCCTCAACTTACACTTAAGTGATCTTATGAATCACTGACAACTCTTAAATAACTGGTTTGTAAATAATGCTATACTTCATTTAGAAATTATTAATTGATCATTAACAAAGTATGAAAATATAATTATTAAACACATTATAGATATGCTTATAAATCAAGAAAAAGCATGTATAGCTGTATTTTTAAACTTCTTATTAATGTCTATTAATGCTTTATAAATGATGAATTAACTGTTAACTCATGCTTAACTAATGAATAATAGTGTGCAGTTATTATAAAGTGTTACCTTTCTTTCTTCTGCTGAACACAAAGGAAGATATTTTGAAGAATGTCAGTAACCAAACAGTTAACTGGTCCCATTTACTTCCATAGTAGGAAACAAAATACCATGGAAGTCAATGGGACCAGTTAACTATTTGGTTACTGACATTTTTCAAAATATATTCATTGTGTTCAGCAGAAGAAAAATTCATACAGGTTTGAAACAACTTAAGGGTGAGTATATAATGACAGAATTTTCATTTTAAAGTGAACTATCCCTTTAAAGTGTTGTAACTGTTTATATATAGTGTTTCTTGGGTTTTTTCTTGTGCATCAACAGAAATGTTTTTATGTATTTATTTTAGAGATTGTTTTGTCAGTAAATGTGGAGGGTTTTAAATTGAATTTGTGTTGATTGTAGCTAGGTTATTAATACTTTTTTTGTTCAAATTTGAAATAATTTGCAACTTTATTTATTTATTTTTAATTACAAATGTATTTAATTATATAATAGTGTACATGTATATTACATTAAAGTATATTTTAGTTCACATTAATTGCTTGTCAGTATATTTGGAAGTACACTTTACCATATTTCAAAGTTCATATACAAATGTATTAAAATCCCACTTAATTTGTTCCAAAAAAACACTCTTAATATCAACTAATAGCATTTAATTTGAGCTTAATCTGTGATACATTTGAAATCAATTACATATAATATGCGATAAGTTTGTCGAAAACATTACACTTAATTCACATTTAAGTGTATTGTTAACTGACATTAAAGTACATTTTAGTTTACATGAATTGCTTGTCAGTGCATTGAGCAGTGCACTTTAAATACATTTTAAATAGACTAGAAGCAATTATGAAAGTAAATATAAAGTTGTATTAAAGTCCCACTTAAGTGGTACCAAAAAATCACTCTTAATGACAACTTATTGCATTTTATTTGAACTTAATATGTGATATATTTGAAAACAATTACACTTAATGTGCATTCAGTGTGGCGAAAACATTGCATTTAATTCACACTTAAGTGTATTGTTAACTGACATTAGAGTATATTTTAAAACACATTACTTGCGTGTCATTATATTGTGTAGTGCACTTTAACTGTATTTTCTGGAAGCAATTGTGAAAGTATATATAAAGTTGTATTAAAGTACCAATTAAGTTGTTTTAAAAAAATCACTCTTAATGGCAACTTATTACATTTTATTTTAACTTAATATATGATACATTTGAACTTAATTACACTTAATGTGCATGAAGTGAGTTGAAAACATTGCATTTAATTCACACTTAAGTGTATTGTTAACTGACATTAAAGTATATTTTTAATCACATTAATTGCGTGTCATTATATTGTGTAGTGCACTTTAACTATAATTTAAATACACTAGAAGCAATTATGAAAGTATATATAAAGTTGTATTAAAGTACCAATTAAGTTGTTCCAAAAAATCACTCTTAATTGCAACTTATTACACTTTATTTCAACTTAATATGTGATATATTTGAAATAAATTACACTTAATGTGCATTCAGTGCCCCGAAAACATTGCATTTAAGTCACACTTAAGTGTATACATTTAAAGTGTATTATTTTTGTAATAAGTACACTTTAGAAAAGTACACTAAAGTGCACTTTTTTTTCACAAGGGAAGATACAGAACAATCAATCATGGCTCATGTAATCGATCAATCAGTGTTTCAATCGGAGAAAGACGTCAATAAAACAGCTTGAGAACACTGTCACATAACTTCACATTTACCTCAGAAAAGCCATTCAGTGACCATAAACTCGATAGTTAGCTAGAACAATGAAAGCAGCATTTACATATTCATTATATACCGTTCTTCAACATTTCATGTATGTTTAAATAAATTCATCAAATTTGTATGACTGCCACCAATGAATGTTATTTGCCTATTCAAAATGTAGAAGGATCTACGAAGGAGAGGCTAAACCTGTGTCTCTTTCCCATTTCTTCCAGAGACCGACTAGGGCTCCCAACCACGTTGAAGAATATCAGCCAAGATCACCATCACAGAGAAAGACGCGCACCAGAGCACAGAAGCACGGAAGAGGAAAACGCACAGCTAAACTCATCACATTTGAGTATCGTCTAAATAAAAGCCCCCACTGGGGTAATTAAGCACTGCAGGTCTCTTGTCTGTGCCTTAATTTTTCCACCCCGCCACAAATGATAAACTTAGAATTCTAACTTTATTTTTATAAAAAACTGTTAAAGCAGCACTAGGTTACTTTTCAACCTTCATAATATATTTCCAAGTCTCTTGTGATGGTACATCGACTTGCAATATGTTGAATGACACGTCTGCCATAGCCTGACGGGGTCTGTAGCATTTTTAATCGTACTTTTAAACTTCGGGTTTCGGGTAGTAACCGGCGAACAAAGAGAACTACAAAATTCGACTGCTTTACGGCATATACGTCACTTCCACCACCACCCCCACTTCCTTAAAATCGGACGTGCGAGCCAAATGTTATAGTCATGACCGAAGCAGCACAGAAAAACAAGAAAGCAAAGGTTTTATCGGAGCAAAGCAAAAAGAGAAAAAGAGAAAGTGATCGCGTTAAAGGCAGAACGAGGATCAACATTGGGCCAGCCTTTTCTCGCTGGCGTGAGCTGAAGGAGGAGGAGGGGTGCCCGACCGATGCGGACTTGGCAAAAAAAATAAAAATCAAATGAAAGCCTGTGTCTAAACGGCGTGCACAAGTTTGGTAGGGGCTACATTCTTGCAAGCAAATATATAAGATGTACAAAATCATATTTTAGGATACCTAACATGTCTGTGATATTTGTTTATTTGTCTTGCCTCAAGATATAATGCAAATCGATTTTTTAAAATCGTAAAATTTGCAGATTCATTTATGGTAGCTTGATATAATATTGACGATATATGGTTATTATCAACCACTCAAACATTGCATTGAAGTATCATATAGATTCAGTAAAACGGTAACCAATAGACTAGGCTACTATAATGACGCTGGCTTTTAAACGTGATCATCGCGATCATTTGTCGTTAGAAAAAAAGAAAACCCATGAAATTATATTCATATGACATGCTGAAATATATGCCACTGTACCTGGGATGAAGACATTTCACACGCGACGCAAGCAGAACACCTGCATGTGACCTCCTCCTACAGTGTTCAGGGCTATCATGGTTGTCAACAATTGCACGTGCATGTAGGATGACAGAGTTTACGACAGTAGTAGAGGTCTAGAGGACAATACTGTTTCCCAACTGTAGGGGGACCCCACCCCGAGAGCAAAAGTTCCCTGGTGTTACTTTAAGTGTTTGTACAGAAATCAGTTCATTTTAACCTTAAATATCATAGTAATGTAGTTCCAACTGACTCCCTGTATAGTTCACAATTTTCCATGAACTGTACCTGATATATATAAAAATGAATCGATATCTATTTGAATTGAATCGGAATTTAATTGTGAATTGAAATCAAACTGAATAGTGTAATTGGTGCCAATAATAAATGTTATTATTATTGTTATTAATAACAATAATAAGTTATTAATAGCAAAGTTATTAATAACAGGAAAAGTTATGAATAGCACCATCACCATTAGTACTATTACCAAAGAGCAAAAGTTATTAATAACAATAATAAATGTTAAGCACCAGTGCTACATCTATCCAGTTCTGAGGAGCTCAATGTTGTCATTATCGAGACAGAAGATACTGAAGTCTCGTCACTTTAGTCTCCTGCATGTGAGGAGCACATGGAGGTTGTCACTTGCGCCGTAGCCAAGTTAAATATCGATTGGCCGGGCGAGAAACATGAGCTTTGACAGAAAAGTATATTAGACGAAC